ATTCATTAATGAAAGAAAAAGCGAGATTTTTTGCCAATGCATTCAACATACAAGAAGATAAGTTGGTACTCTCTAATGGTTGGTTAGATAGTTTTAAAAAACGTAATAACATCTGTCAGTATCGAATACATGGAGAATCAGGAAGTGCACCAATAGCATCTCTTCCAGAAGAAAGAATTAAGCTTTGTCAACTTCTAAGCCGGTATACTTTTGATAAAATTTACAATATTGATGAAACAGGTCTTTACTATCAGATGTCTCCAAATCAAACACTTTCAACCAAGCCCATTCGTGGTGAAAAAAAAGACAAAACTTAAATCACAGTTCTTTTTGGTACAAATGCAATAGGAACCAATAAACTCAAACTATAGGTAATTGGTAATGCAAAATGTCCAAGACCTCTTTCGAAAATTAATGTGGAGAGACTTCCAGTTTATTACTGTAGAAATTCGAAAGCATGGATGAACTTGATGATTTTTAGAGAAGTACTCCGTAAATTAGATAGTTACTTTAAAGCAAAAAATAAAAAAATTTTGCTTCTGATTGATAATGCTCCATCGCATTTTAATCCAAATGATTTACCAAATGAGCAAGATGAAGATAGCGTCAATAAAGAGACTGAATTCACATCAACCTCTAGTAAGTTTTTATAAAGGAAATGGGTCATTGGTTAAGTCTATTATTCATTAATTAGTCTTTCGATATAAAGTTTATTATCAGATTAATGGAAAGTTAATTTTACTTTTATAAAGCTATTTAGTTTATTAGTTTATTTAATTTATATTACATATATATTTATTTATTAATGTATATTACATATTAAAAAAAAAAACAATAAAAAAAATAAAAATAATAATAATAATAATAATAATAATAATAATAAAAAAATTAAATAAAAAAAAAAAATTTAAAAAATAGAAAATAGAAAAATTTATTTACATGATAAATATAATATAATTGTTAAATATTTAATAAAAATATCTTGCCAGATTTTTTTTTTTTTTTTTAATATAAATCAAGTTTCAAGAAGCTGTGATGGTGAATCAAGTAATCATGAATCTAGAGGTTTTGGTAGAAGCCGTGGTGATGAACCAAGTAACCGTGAATTTAGAGGTCATGGTAGAAGTCGTGGTAGAGACCATGGTGATGAACTAAGTAACGTAAATCTAGAGGTCATGGTAGAGGTCGTGGTGGTAAATTAAAGGATAGACTTAATATCCCTCAGCTTCAATTAACTCATATTGAGGTAGCCTTTTTACCTCCTAATACTACAAGCCATCTTCAGCCACTTAACGTCGGGATCATTGCAAGCTTTAAAAACTATTATAAGAAGCATTTTTGTCATCATATGAGGCCTTTGCAATAGAAAGGGAGGAAACTCCAAAAAAATTAAAATTTTAGTTTATAAGCCAAAAATGTTTCAAATACTATAATTTGTTCAGATTTATTATTAACTCATTTTTATTTTTTTTTGAGTTTCCTCCCTTTCTATTGCAAAGGCCCATATATCCTTGAATAAGATCCTAGAAGAAGTTTAAGGTTTGCTTTGAGTGTAGTTTGTTAGGAGTAAGATGCAATAATTGACAGCTATTTGCGAAAGTATTCATTTATTTGAAGAATTTATTCTAAAATATATCATTCATTTGGTCATAAATATATTAGTTCTTTACAATTTGGTCTTTGGATTTGGTGGTAATATTGATCTCAGCTATATTGATATTAGTGAAAATAATTGAATGGTCTGAAATGTAGAGGTCTATTATTATCATATTTATAGTGTTAATGCTAGCAATGATAAATGATAAGTAGTTTATGTGATTAATTCTAATAGGTTAATGTTTGGCTGAATGAAAGAATGATAGGAAAAATTGGTTAGCATTGTTGTAAAGAAGATCAAATACATTAAAAAGTTATAATTTGTCAATTTTTAAGAAAAATAAGTTCGCTTGTGACATATTACTAGACCTATCAGAGACAGCATTAAAATCTCCTAATAAAATAACTTCCATATTGAGACTTCTTGCTTTAGCAATTAGGGTTATGGTATATTTATATGTTTGAGGTCGCAAGATTTTATTTGAACTTGAAATGTAACAATTGATAAGACAAATTTTAAATTTATTACGAAAATTAAAATTAACGAAGATGATACGACTATATTTTCCATTGTACTTATAGATGTGATTGGCAAATTATTTTCTTATCAGTAATCTAACACCTATATCAGATGATTAGGTGGTATTGTCGAAGTTAAAAAAGAAATAAATTGGAAAAAAGTTAATTTGTTGAAACTTATTGTTTGTTTTAAAGTTTATTTCTTAAATTCCAATAATATTTAAATTCAAATTTGTATAAATTGATTAATGATTGTTGTTTATATAGTTAAAGAAGGAAATAAATATTATGTATTGTAATATTAATATGAGACGATAAAATAGTTAAAGAATTGATTAAAAAATTATTGTTTAATTGAGTACGTTCAGAATCAATTGAGCTGCTAAGACCAGCTCTGTTATCATTATTATTATCAATCATTAAAAGTATTTGAGAGTGGATGGGATGAATTCTCTATTAACATCTTTAGTATAGCTAAATGGCAAAGCCACTTTAGCTATATCAATAAATGCATCTGGGCTAATTTTGTATTAAGTTTAGAGTAAGCATTGTATATTGACAATTGCTCAACTTATATTGTTGAGTTTGAGAAAGCTGTCTTTTAAGTTAGTTTTTAGTAAAACATTTTTTTCTTTGAGGTGAGTGATTTTAGTAACTTATTTTCTTTATAATGTTATCTTTGATATTAGAGTTAGTAGTGAAAGTATTTTCTTCTATTTTCATATCACATCATTATAAGCTTTGTTGAGTAAGTCAGCTTAAGCAGGTAAAAGCGTAACAATATTAAAAATAGCTTCAATAGCTGATATTCGATCAATAGTAAAATGTAAATCACAGTCTATTTTAGCTAATTGGCCTGCAATGGCTTCAAGTTAATTAGAGGTTTTAATAAGTATATCAGATTATTTTAGTTGACCGTTGTTATTACATGATTGATGGTATCATATTCATAGTCATCTGCCTAAGAACTATGTGCATGAATACTTGCATCTAGTGTTTCCTCTTCTTTATAGTTGATTGAGTTCTTAAGTTTATTAGATTGATATACAGGAGGAGGATTAGGTTTTTCAAGCAGTTTTTTTGACTTGCTTTTTCAGGTTGACAGACCGCATTAGGAATATTTGAACTATTGCCATTTTTTGGTAAATTGTTGTTAGATTGATCATCATTTTTTATGGTAATTTATTTGGATACCATTGGCTTAGGTTTAACAATTGGAGCTTGGTAATTACAAAATTATGCAGGTTAGAATCTTTGATAGAGTTGTTATATTTCTAAAGGTCATTCTTTTCTTGTAATAATTTTATAATTAATGATTAAGAGTTTAACAGATGAAGCGTAATTTTAAGTTCAGATCTATTTAAATAAGTTTTTTTATCGAGATAGAAGATTTTATCATTCTTGACAGCATCTATTGATTCTTTATCTTTGAAGTAGAAAATAGCATACTAAAGGTTATGATAATTAGCACATAATTTAGGAATAACCTATATGATGGCTTTTACTATATTACCGATTGAGATAAGGTGACGTTCATTAGTATTCAATAGTAGATTGGTTAGCTTAAGGAAGAATTGAGATTTTTTTCTGATGTTTTCATTTGACATAGTACAAGGGTGCATTCTAACGGAATCTTTTAATATAAAGTAGCTATTTAGTTTATTGAGAATGGTCATGTCAGTATTATCTTTGAACGTAATGGTCACTTGTTGCCAAAAGTTTTTAGCGAACATAGTACATTTAGCGATTTTGCTAAAAAAAGAGAATATAGATCACAAATTAGATTCTGTAGTAGAGATCGGGATCTCAGTTATTCTGATTGAGAGCTTAAAAACATATTTGCAGCTGGTTTAGTTATTAAGGGTGAAAACGTGTTATTATTCAAACTAGGAAATTTAAGGGTGATTGTATTATTTGCTTCATTATACGAGGTAAAATCAATTTAAAAATTTTTTTATTAGGGTCATCAGAGTGAGTGCGTACTGAAGCACTAATAAAAGATGCATAATATAATACAAAGATGTCATACACCTCATTTTGTTTTTTTCGATTCATTTTTTTTGGAAAAAATTTTTCTGCAACGCAATAGGTAAAGTAAATGGAAGCATCTGTTTTTCATTCAAAGTGGATACTGTTAGCTTTATTCTTGTCATTATTAAGACCATTTTTAGTAACGTCAAAAGATTGGTCAACGTCTATAAGAGTTTTAGAATGGAACGAGAAAGTTTTAGACATTTTTTTTTTGTCATTTGGTAGAATAGCGGTTGAGTCAAGTTTCATGTCAGCAGGCGCATCTTTTGTTGAATTATTATTTGAAGATGAAGCTTCTATTGGTTAGAAAGGTTCAAGGAACTGTTTTTTGCTGGTTGTTATTGTTAATTATTGTTTAGAAAAGAAGAGCAAGTCTTATTAGACTTGTTATTGTTATTATTTCTGCTATTTTTTCTAATCATATTGGAAATGAGGATCAGCAGAAAGCTATCAAAATATTTTAAGTTTTTTAAAATATTTTTTATAAACAATTTTATATTATAATTTAAGAAATATATAATTTAAATTAAGTATAAATAATATAATTAATATTATTTTTATTAAATAAATATTAAAATTATTTTAAATATTAATATTCAAATAGGAATCCTAAATAATTTAATTATAAAAGATAATTATTTTTTAAGAAGATATCTAATTTATAAATGTAATCAATATGGCAAATCAGTTTATATAGTTATTAAATAAGATTAGTAATAGATAAAAAATTACCTATATATTTAATTAATAAATAAAAATATTAAATTAATTTTATTATTTATATTTAATTAGTTTTTTGAATTCTAATACTAATACTATAATTTGTATGTTGCAGATTGAATTGATTATTGGCTTTATAGTAATTTAAAAGTTATTGCAAGTTATTAATTAAACTTTTGTTATATAAAATTATAATCAAAAATTGGAATAACTAATTATAATATAAAATAAGAAGTTGAGAAAGTATGTGTTTTTGATGGTTTCTTTTAAGTCAAATAATAGATCAATATAGTATCAAATGCTATTTTAATTGTTTTTGAGTTGTACAAAATGCTTGATATGCATTTATGATCTATAACCTATATAATATTAAAAGCACAATTATCTTTTTATGATTTGTATTAAATGTTTTATTAAATATTATTTGCTAAAGCAAACATAGAATGGTTTTAGCAACAAAAATTGTATTAAAGATGATAAAAACAAAAGGATATTTTAAAAAAAATAATATAACACCATAACACCATTCATTTTGATCACAAACAATATTTACAAGAATATGAATGATATGGGACCTTTGCAATAGAAAGGGGAAAACTGCCGGAAAAATCAATTTTACTTTTATATGCCAAACATGATTTTTAGGTCAAAATATGTTCAGATTTAGCATTAACTCATTTTTATTTTTTCCATCAAAGGTCCCATATGACAATGAGGTAATCAGCATTTCTTCTTAACAAATCCCCAAATAACAAACCACTTTCGCGAAGGGATAAATTACGTATTACAATAGGAGTAGATGATTTATCAGACAACATTATTTTATAATACGTTGCAGCATCTCGTACCATCATTACAGGAAATTGTTAGAAAATCCCAAATTGGTAACGGTCAAAAACCGTCACAAAGATATATGGGAACACAATATAAAAAAAAGGCATGATATTGTAATTTACAGAAAGTTGTCGTGAGCGCACCATTATATTAATGGTGTTAGTAATTTTAAAATAATATGCTGGCAACGACATTTTGGTGTTTTAAATATATTTAATTATTAGTATATACTGTATAAGTGTTATAAGTGACACTATTCTGACAATGGAACATAAAAAACAAAAGATGTTTCATACGACCATAAAATGCTTGATTTTTTTTTTGTTACATCTCCTCTAACTAGTGTTCTTGATCTAATTAATTATGATCGATCATTATTTGAACTGATCACAAAAATTTATAATCAATTAAAAATTGACTTTAATGCCATTTTATTTTTTTTTGAATTTCTTTTCAAAATATTATTTCTAAATAGGAAGATCAAATACATCAATTTAATATGAAATAAATCACGAATACGTACTTTGCAATGATTGATAAAAAAAGAGATGTTATATTAATAATTTAATCGATCATTGAATCGGTCAATTTATATTCGAAAGCATATAAGTTATTTATTCGAACCGAAAACAATCAATTGATCGATTTAAAGTTCGATCAATCGAATTTTGATCGAACCGATGCATAATTAGCCAATTAAATACCCTACCTCGTGTGACTTTAATTTAAAACAGAATTTTGGACGAATACCAAAATGTAATGATCATGCCTTGAGATAACAATGATCAGAATTTAAAAAATTGGCAATTCTTTGCAGTCTTAGCATGTTTATAATAGGTGACGTTATATTACTTCAGACGACTAAAATCAAAAGAGAAATTTTTTACAAGGATTTCGGAATATTTAAAAAGATCAAAAAAAAAAAAAATATTCATTTTTTAATATTTCAAAAATTATATTCTATAAAAATTGGAATAAATATTATAAGTAAGAGAAATCTATCAGTTACGGCCATACACAGTGAAAAGCACCGGAACCCGTCTGATCTCCGAAGTTAAGCCACTGATGGCCCAGTCAGTACTACGGTTGGGGACAACGTGGGAATACTGGGTGCTGTAACTTTTTGTTTTTTTGACGGAAATTTATTTGATTAGCATTGCGAAGATAATTAAAATTTTGATTGTTTTTACAAATTTTGGTAAAGTTATGAAATGTTATAGATTTTTTTATTCAAATAAATATAAAATGTTTCATATGTATCAATAAATAATCGTTTCTTTTTACTTCTTAGTTATAAATTCACGTAATAAGTTAAAATTTTCAAATATTAATAAGTAAGGAAATCTTCGTAACCTTTGTTTTTTGAACAATTATGATAATTAAAAGAACATGATGTTTACAATTTCGGTAAAATTATTTAATGTAATAATTTAGATTAATTGTTTTAAAAAATACAAAGGATCATATATCAAACGATGCATTTATAAAGTAATCAAACTTTCGTGTTTCCAATTTCGCGCTTCAGATCGACAAGATCATTAGCCAAATTTAATATCAGTCAAGGAAAATTACGATAATTCTTTTAAATTTATAAATATTAATATTTTATACAAATAACCAAAAGAAAAATCTATCAGTTACGGCCATACACAGTGAAAAGCACCGGAACCCGTCTGATCTCCGAAGTTAAGCCACTGATGGCCCAGTCAGTACTACGGTTGGGGACAACGTGGGAATACTGGGTGCTGTAACTTTTTTGATTTTAACGAAAAATGAATTGACAATTGTTAAGTTTAATGATTTTTACAACTTGATAAGAAACGATTTAAGAAAATTTTATACATTAACTACTGTATAAAATATCTATAATTAAACATTTCGAAATCCTTTCGCATTTTTGAGATTAATGAAAATTTTTCAATTGAGGAAATTTTCTTAAAAAATTTATAAATTTATGTAATTTGCTAAAAAGTTCAAGTTTGTAATTAAGCAGATTCTTCCGTTACGTCCATACGGTACGGCTGGAAAAACGTATCGTAACTTTTGCAGAATTTGCAATTTAAATGTATTCAATTTATATAATGAAACCCAAAAGTTTACTTTTTAATAAATAAATTTCTTCGAAATAATAAATTTTTAATTCAATTCACTCTTATATTTCTGAATAAATTGAAAGATCAAAAGGATCAAAATGTAAATTACAATTTCAAATATAAACTTAATGGTGGATTTGAAAAGTTTAAAAGAGTTATTTCCTTGATCGAATTGTAATGCATCATCCAAGGCAGAGTCGGTCTCATCGTCCGAACTTGAACCTGACGACGCACTCGATTCTAGTAATAAAACAAAGGAATCAAAATTTTACCGATAAATAATAATTGATTACGATTAAATTAAAAAAGCAGAATTACCTTTTTCCAGAAATGCTCTAGCTTTTTTTGCAAGCCTTTTATCAAAAGGATCAATATAATCCAAGGCAATCTGACCGTCTTTACCATGAATCGCATATAATCCGATTATCGCAACAACCCTTGATCCGAATTGTTTATCAGCAAAATACTTAAACTTCTTAGCCTGTCTTTTAATTTCCTTCTTATTCTCCTTAAGATGAGCCTTATTAATATTTTTAACTTCAACAACAGCCATAATACCAACCTCAGAAATAAATAGCAAATCACCCTCAAGAGAAACATCATCCTTTTCATCTGAATAAACCCAATCATATTCATAAAAATATTTAAATCCTGGCAAGTATTTTTCTTGATTTAAGATGATTTCAGTCATAACTTCTGCCCTTGAATTTAACTCAACTTCAAATTTCATATTGTGCTTTTTTGGGTCAAGAAACCATTTATTCATCGTTTTAATATGTGTGCTCTTCAAATTTTCTACCTGGGGTTTAAATAATTTTGCAGATAATGAGACTAGTTGCGTCAATAAATCATCTTGATCCCATCCAAATTCATAATATTTCTTCTTCCTTCGTGAAATCGTTTCTCTCAGGTGAACGACAAGTTTCCTTGAAACAATATATTCCCTTATGATTTGAACAATATCTTCAGGAATTTGATCATCAAATTTTTGTTTTTGACAAATTTTGAACATAAAATTCAACTCCTTGATAGTAATTTTATCCATTTTTAAATAAAATCCAAAACCAAAAAAAAAATGAAATAAAAAAAATGAAGAATGAGAGAAAAAAGATGAGGTTAGAGTGATGAAATTGGTAAAATTGTCTAAACCCTTTTATCAAATATTTAAATTACACTAAGTTACACGACATCATAATGATGATCGTCAGCATTATTAGTTCCTCATAAAAATTTATCAAATCCCCTTTTTTTCTACCACATTTGAGCTGAAAAGGAAAAAATTATGTCGAAATCTTCTTTTCCCATCGAGTGTTTTAATGGAATATTTAAACATATCGAGAATGATAAATCAACCTTACATTCATGTTTATTGGTGGATAGGTTGTGGTGTAGAATGATTATACCTATACTTTGGAGTCGTACATTTTCCTTGATTCAAAATTCAAAAAACTCGTCACTTTTTCTAACGGGAACCTATCTCTCATTCCTCAATGACGAAGAAAGGCAACTTTATAATCATTATCCTGAATTATACCCAACGACAAAATTTGAACATTTATTTAATTATCCGAGTTTTTTAAAAGAGTTTTATTATGACTTGATGTATTCAATTGTGAAATTTTGGGTTAAAACGAATACTAATTTAGATATTTCAACGAAATATAATTGTCAGATTATATTAACGATCTCATGTAATATTTCACAAAGTTTATTCAAAATGTTTTTGAGAAATAATGTTCAAATTAATTTGATGAACATTAAATCTTTTGAATTTTATCCTGATTTACCCTTTTTGTCCAATCTTCACAATTCCTTTTCAAACCTTAAAAGTTTTCAATTCAACGCCGATTTACAACCCCTTAACACCTTTTCAAACACGTATTCCTTTTTAAAATCCTTACCTCGATCATGTAATGATATATCTCATTTATTACTTAATGTTCATTTCAAGAAGAAGGATGATAAGGAGGAATTATTCATTAATATAATTAACGCTCAAAATAATATAAAAAAATTTATAATTAATCCTCATGGAATCATACCGAGGTCGATTTTAAATTCGATAATTCATCAAACATCATTGGTACTAGTGCATTTTAAGGAAACCAAATTTATTAATTCGTTCCCTTTTGAACTTTTGTTAAATTGTGATAATTTAAAATTCCTTTTAACCGAGAATTGTCATGAGTATTATAACAGGGAGAATTCACAGATCGACACAGAAGTCAAACCATGTTCCATCTCCTTAAAAGATATCAAATGTAAAGTGGACACTCTTTACATAAACAACAACAATTTTCTCCCTTTAACGATATCAAGATTGATCCAATTGTCGGGAACAAACTTGACCACATTATGGTTGGACAGGACGAAATTCTCATCATACATCATCACATCCGAACCCCTTTCAATCCATTGTCCGAATATTTCTCATTTAATATTAACCCTTGATACCATCAGTTTATATCAAACCAAGAATTCCCTTTCAATTTTAATTTCTAATTTAAACCTGGAATATTTTGGAATAAGAAATTTTGGATGGACAAATGAATTGATTGCCGATTTGGGAAATTATCTGCCTAGTTCATTAAAATATCTAGAAATATCAAGTTTCTTTGATTTTGAAGCCTTATATATGTTATTGAAAAGGTGTAAATGTCAATTAAGAGGATTGAGTATGATCTTTTTTAATGAGAATTATTTAAGCTTCATTATTGATTATGCTAAATGCAACAAAGATTTTAGGTTATTGGGAATAGATATCTTTCTTTCCGAGGAAAATAAAGGGAAAATCAAAGCTTTAAAGGCATTGAAGGAAGAAACGAATATCAAGATTGTTGATCCGGATGAATTGAAGTTGAAATCATCACCCTCGTATTATGATTATATACGTCAAAAGCCAACATAATCATTATCCTTTCCTTTCGTCAAGAATTTGAATATCTTTCAAAGCCTGTCTAACTCTGTCAAGGCTATCAGAATAATTGCCATACATTGCGATTAAAGATGCGATTCCAGATAGTTGATTATCCTAAACAGGTATGAATTTTAGTTATATCCCTTTTTTTTCAAGATCATTTTTTTCAGGTTATGATTAAAATACATACAATCTTTTCATCAGTGATATCATGATTTCTTATCCATGAAATACTCTCCATATCATTCGGTAATAATGCGATACTTTGTGTAATTGTAGGAAATAATTCTGAAAGTGCGCTATTTTCAATTAAAAGAATAAAAAAAAGTGAGAATTTGAGATTCTAAAAATTTTGCCATAAATAAAAAGAAAAAAAATTTTTTTTTATTCAAAAATAAATGCCTGTGATATTCTGGTTCAATATTTATATGTTCCCCGACGAATGGTTCTTTAAGTCTCATCAACAAAGATTGTTTGTGAGACGTTATAGAAGCGATATGTTTGCTGAAATTTATTAATATCTTGATCTTTTTTTCTAAAATGAAGGAAAAAAAGAGTTTTTTTTTTTTTTTTTTTTTTTTTTTTTTTAATAAAATAATGTTACTGTAAGGGGAAACAAAAAAAAAACGAACCGATCTCTGACTTTTTGACCAAATCGAAACTCTGTTGAGAATCTTTAATTTTGGTGAGCACTTCTTGAATCTAGATCAAAAGTAATCATTCGAAAATAAGCTAAAAGGTGTATAACAGATCATTTCCGAGTAGTTTAGATTCTTGCCTGGTAAACATTATCATGAAGAATGAGAATCTCTTTTAACAATTTTGCTAAATGTATTGATGATTCCGTTTGCGAAGTAGTAAATGTAACTGGTCCCTATTAAAATTTATTATTATTTTTTTTTTTTTAATATATATATTTTTTTATTTTTAATATATATATTTTTTTATTTTTATTTTTTTTTTTCAAAAAAAAAATTAAGATTTACAGTCGTGTATTCAACTTTTTTAACGATCTCCAAGACATTATTAAGTGTTGGTGGCGTGTTAATAGTTGTGTTTGGGAGGTAATACCTTGACATAGTTGCAAATGAAGATTTGTAGATATATTTTGCGAGAGATTTTTTATATGTTAAAATATTTACCAATAAGGAATTTCAAAGCGTGTGCGATTAACTGATTAGGGGATGTAAAAGCACGTGTAAATCAGAAGGAACTTTTTAGGAGAGACGCAATTGGTTCTTATAAAAAGTTTAAATAATTTTGGTGAGAATTTTTTTAATATTTAACGAGGGATTTGATTTTATGTGATGAATATGATTACTTATTTGTAAAGAATGCTTAGAAAGAATGAAAAAGAGGACGGGATTTTTGAAAGGTCAAAAAAAAAACGGAAAATAAATTTTAAGGTATGACTTGGTCTGTGCGCTAATCTCGTGTACCGAACTTCATATCAACAGTTTTTTTTTAATATACAGTATAATTTTATGTAACGAACAGGGATTTATTACCGCAAGTTCGGTTATTAACTATATCACGTGATCATCTTGCATCATCTTTGATGTATAATTGTAGAGAACAGATTACGTGGACTTCGATACGCAACTATTAACACACTTTGTTTTTCATTTCAAGAACAAACCGCATGCAAAAAATCTTCTATTTTTAAAAACGATAAAGCTTTTTAAAATAAAGGAAACATAATATCATATATCCATATATATTTACTGTGGATTAGGTTAGCCATATTAGTTTAACAGAAGTCTTAATTAGAACGCATTGAAGTAACTCTTTTTAAATTATTTGTTAGACAATGAGAAAATTTCACCAACCTTGCATCCAACCTTGCATAACTTCACAAAATGTTATATATATACTTTGATCATCTTTTACACTTCGAAAACAAAAATTACCGCCAATACGTTTAACAAGTTGGATTATGTCACCGATCCTCAAAATTTTCTATCGAAATGGTATGAATACCACCGTTTGTTATATCGTTTAGAAGAAGACGTGTAATTTTTGGCATGAAATATGGCTGATTTCTCATTATAAAAGGAAAGCTTGCATTTACGAAATCTTTTATTTTTTTTTCTTTTAACAAAAAAATAATGGCAAATAAATAAATAATAAATAAAGTATGTTGGTCGTTTCACTCCCATAAAAAATAGATTAGACCCCATCGATACAAGATAATGAACTAATGTACGCCTTTTTTTAAAGTTTATGGTTAAAACGTATGGTTCGCTTAATAAATATAATAAAAAAAAAAAAAAACGCCAAAATCATTAATGTTGAAACTTTATGCGAAATCTTACTCGTCTTAAAAAGAATCTATGGTATGAAAATCATATTAAATTTTGTACATCATCAACCCATCATTCAATATAACTTGCTATTCGAAAGATAAAATTACAATCATGATGAAGATAGCTTCTTCTATGCCATTTTGAGAATTCTTATATACAATGTGCCTATTTTTTTTTTTTTTTGATAAAAACATAAAAAAAAGATACAGTAAAAAAATAAAATAAAATAAAAATGTATCTTATTTTGATCTAAAAATAAAACAATGAATATTTCCATTAAACGTTGAAAAGGGGAGTTGGTAAATTGACAAAATATTAAATTTTTCAAATAAAAAAAGGTCATTCGATAGATATAGTCATCCGTCTAGCGAGATTGCCAGAGGGCTTCCTCTTTAAACCTTGTCAAAAAATCATATGAAATTTGCCTGATCAAAAAAAAAAAAAAAAAAAAAACGATCGACGTTTTATGCCATTTGCAAAAAAAAAAAAAAAAAAATCGTAAAAAAAAAAATAGATTTGATTGTAATCCATAAATAAAGTTTTGAGTTCACAATATACATGCACTTGTGATAAGCCTAATAAAATAATTGCTGACATTGGGTTTCGGGTATTGAAACATACGGTTACCCTCAACTTTCTGACACCGCTCCGTCACCACTCTGCCGATAAATAGTGGGTGATTATTTCCCCAAAGGAGAATTCATTTCGTTTTGAATAAATTAACCTTTTTGGGGAATCCACTTGTTCGGTTGCTCGGCACGTGACCCCTCTAAAAACTTTAAAATGATGATGCCCGGATTTTAATTTCAGGTTGGTCGTTTTTTAAGGGTAAAGATATAGATGGTGCAAGATTGACTTGTGTAAATTGTTTGTGTATTAAATATTTAATTTGTACCACCTTTTAAGTGCAGATATATGTTTGGAGACTTGAATAACAAAAAAAAAAAAAAATATTTACCATGTCCTCTTATGTTAAGATCCCTTCGAACCTTAAGCCTTCCGATCCACAGGGGTCGGATTTATTGGCCCAAGAGCGAGCTACGGTTACATTCGATGTGAAAGAACTTACCCTTTTTTTATTTGGCAAAAAAAATTTGGACCGTTATCATGAAATTTTAAGGATAGTTGAAAATGACCCTGCTTTTGACAAAACCAATGTGTATTTTATGGGACGAAATGAATTATTTAAACATGCGATGAAAAAAGAAAAAAGGCTAGCTCAATTAATTAAGTACATATCTTTGATAAGTATAATCATTTACTTTATCATTTCAAGATAACCATTGTAACCGATAAAATTTTCTAGAGAAAACAAATGGAAGGTAGAAGACATTCAATTCGCTGAATGGTTACTTGATACGCCGGGACCGGTGTGTGGTTTATGACCTGTATATATGCTTATGCTTATCTCATTTCTGATTCGAAAATTTTGAAATTTTGAAAGTTTGGCGTTCATCGAGGAATGTTCATACCAACTTTAATTAGTCAAGGAACGGAAGTACAAAAGAAGGAATTTCTTGTTCCGGCTTTGAAATACAAAATTCTTGGATGCTATGCGCAAACCGAATTAGGACACGGTTCCAATGTCCAAGGTTTGGAGACAACTGCCACTTACATCTCTGAAGCAGATGAATTCGAAATACATTCTCCTTATTTGACGGCTTCTAAATGGTGGATTGGAGGTTTGGGAAAAATTGCGTATGCCATTAACCTACACGTTAGCCGGCGTCACGATGAATGACTCATTTAACCTAAATCATCTTTGATCCCGCAGTAATCATGCGGTCGTTATGGCTCAGCTGAAAAGTAATGGAAAACCCTATGGTCCTCACCTCTTCGTCGTTCAGATTCGAGACATGGAAACGCATCAGCCTTTGCCTGGCATTACAATCGGAGACATTGGTCCTAAGTTCGGGTAAATAATAATTATCCGGAAACGTGCGGTAACATTTATCTCAAATTTTTTTCCTCCTCCTCCTCTTTAGTTTTAATTCTACCGATAATGGATTCATTCTCTTTGATCGTGTCCGAATTCCGCGATCCAATATGCTTTCCAAATTCTCGCAAATCAAAAAGGGAACGGGAGAATACATAAACCCACCGAACGATAAATTATTATATGGCACCATGATTTTAGTTCGTGCCATAATCATTTCGGGTGTGCGTTTCGCGCTCGAGCGCGCTGTCACGATTGCAATTCGCTATTCTGCTATACGCAGGCAATTTGTCGATAAGGAGGAGCCAAAAAAATTGAAGGATGGGTAAGGGAACTAAAAATGAGACGAATGTTATTGTTATTATTATTATCATTTTATAACATGTAGCCCCTACCTATTTTTAGTCGTGTAGTAGAAACGATCATATTGGATTATACAATGCAACAATATCGATTGTTTCCCGTCATTGCTCAAGCTTACGCGTGTTTCTTTACGGCCAAAGTCATGATCGATCAATACGCAGAATACACGAAACAGAGTTCTGTTGGGAACTATTCTCTGTTGACAGACTTACACGCTTCAAGTTCAGGATTGAAATCCTTGACAACTACAATGGCCGTAGACTCGATTGAAGAATGTAGGAGAGCGTGTGGTGGTCATGGTTATTCAAGTTTTAGCGGATTTGTCAAATTTTATCAAAATTATTTACCAAATACAACTTGGGAAGGAGATAATTTTGTCTTGACTCAACAGACCGCTCGTCATGTGAGTGCGATGAGAAATGAGCGCTTTGTTTTCTTTTTTTACCTCCTTCCTGACGAGACCTTGTTTTATTTACAGCTCTTTAAAACGTTTCGCAAAATGGTATTGAGCAAAGGTGCCGAAGCGTACCCGTCTCAATCCGAGAGGAATCAAACCATGGCATACATCCTACAATATCTTAATGACCCGAATCATACATGTACAGCGACAACACATTTGGATTTTAAAAATCCCGAACTTCAATTGAGGGCATTTGGCCATCGAGCGGCCTATTTAATTGCAAATGCGGTGGATCAAATCGATAATCACAAGAGCACATGGAATTCCATGCTGGTCGAGATTAACAGAATATCACGTGCTCACTGTCAATACCTCTTGGTACGAAATTTCATAAATGCGTTGCAAAACTCACGTCAAAGCGAAGATGAAGGGTTACACATGTTACGTGACAACCCTTCGTTGAAAGAGGTCATGTTAACCATTTGTAATCTATTCGTATTACACACCATGGAAAAAGACCTGGGGGATTTTATGGAATGTGGATATTTAACCCCATCACAAGCGAGATTGTTGAGAGCTCAAATTTATAATTTGTTAAAGGAAATTAGGCCAAATGCCGTTGGTCTGGTCGATGCTTTTCTTATCCCGGACTTTTTGTTGCAATCCGCTATTGGAAGGTATGATGGAAAGGTTTACGAGACTATGATCGATTGGGCCTCCAAGGAACCCTTAAATGGTATCACCTTGGATGTTAATCCTGATAGTGATGTATTATTTAGAAACGAAACGGATAATAAAACAAAGGCTAAACTTTAAAAAGGTTGTTAGCACGAACCATGAAGTACTAATATGAATGAATGCGCATTTAAAATTTTTTTTTTGTTGGGTAAACATAAATAAATAAAGAAGCATTTATCAGGAAGAAATGAGCGTTCTCGTAACACAAATTTCCAAAAACTGTTCGTCGCACTCATGGAAAATCTCAGCATGGGACGTTAATTTATTTAAAAAAAAAAAAAAAAAAATCATATAATTTAATAGAATTTTTAATATCAACAAAAATTGATGAAGGCGCGTGGGGAAACGTAATGAGATCGCGTGGCCATCTTCCGATTCCTATTCATGATTAGATAACGACTAAAAAAGGAACGAACCAAAGCGAATTCGCACGACGTTTTTGACATTTTCTTGATTTCGACAAGTTGACCGAATAATAAATAATGCGCAGCCTCACGAAATCCAGTTAATTATCCGGAATTTCGCACACAGCCGGGACCTTTAAAAAGATTCTTTTCCGACAAACTAAGCGAAAAGGAGGTATGCTTTACAACATAACATGTGAACATTATTTAATTTTGTGTTAATTATTTGCTTTTTTGAATGGATTATTTGATGTTTGCATAATTGTTAATGAAAGTGTAGTGATACTATTTAAATTCAGTAACACGTTTAATTCATAATTCAATTGTTACAAGTCCTTTGAAAAGCATTTATGCAATCATTTAGCAAATCCGAGCGGTAAACAAATCAAGCCAATCATGTCGTCCACTCCCCGGTTAGGAAGGTTGCTGCGCCATGCTGCGGAAATGGTTTTTGTTTGCGTTTTTGGCCGCGGAAAAAGTTTCCGAGTTTAGATTGATTGATATTTCGGAATTATTTTTATTTTTAATGATCCTTAAACAGGTTGCAATCAATCCCGCATTTTTTTTTTTTCTTTTAGAGATAAAAGCATGTTTATGTCAAAATCGACCTTTTATACCAAAAAAATACATGTCACATTTTGTGATCGTCTTACCAGGACACCAATCCCACTTACATTTTCCTTCATCGGTGTGAACTTTCACCGTCTACAAAACGACAATTTTATAGAATGAAAAAAATAAATAAATAATAAACCGAATAAAGCTTAACGCCCCAAACTTGAAAGTGAATGGGCCATCCCTTCCCCTCCCCCTTTATTATTATATACGATAAAAGTTATCCAACTAATCATGTCGTGAACATAAAATAATTCACAACCTTTGCAGTCAATTCAATAAGCAAAATAAATAAAATTTGATTTTGCTGCGTATCCATTATTCATTAGTGGTTTAATATAGGCATTTAATAAATTGTTTTTTTTTTTTTTTTTTCAAAATATTTTTTGTATATATATACAGGCGTATAAAAGTTGGAAAAAAAAAAAAAATAAATAAATAAATAGATAAATAAATAACCGTACAAATCCTACCTATAAATTGGATAAACATTTCGCATTGCTTTTTTTTACTCCTTACTGTTAAGCAAATTAAGTAAAAATAAAGGAATCTTAAATAAATTTTAAATTAAATTACTACACTCCTATTTTCAATTTGGAATTTATTTCGTCTCACTCTCTTGGAGAGGAGCTTATTTTTTTTTTTTTTTTTTTTGTCCTATATATAAAGCCGCACCTAATTTACTTGTAGAATGGATGCTCTTTCCGTAACGACTACAACTGAGGTTAACAACTTGTCACCAAATTTTATAAAGTTAGTTGGTCATTTCTTTTGGTACATCTTTAAGGCAATTTTTCATTAATATCATTTTTTTTTTTTTTTTTTTTTACATGGTTTCTCTTTACTATATATAGAAAAAATCTTAATGCGGGTAAAAAATGTTCAGGAAAAAAAGATTCAGGGAGTTTTCTCAACAATTATTACCTCAGTGCGTATTTGTCACTGATTTTATTTCATTTATTTCATTTTTTTTCAGTCGCGAGATTGGCGTTGCGAGAATTCATCATATATATATTATAAAAACATCTGCTAACATAAAACCTTTTTTTCCATTTTTTTTTTTTTTTTTTTAATAAAAATCCTTATGCTAGGTTAGAATTAGATCCGTCACATCAGCCGACGTTAGTTTCAGATATCCTTGAAGAAATCTTTTCGTTAATTGCGGAAACGGATTCATGTTCGACAGCTTATTATTATTATGATCATGCAACTTTAAAGGATTTATATTCTTGTACGTTAGTAAATCGTCAGTGGTGTGCAAGCGCGGTAAGGATATTGTGGAAAAGACCTTTTAGCTCGTTTCATAATGGAGGGCATAAATTAATCACAACGTATTTAAGAGGGTTAGATATTGAGGAACGAAGGGATTTGAAACTTAAAGGGATAAAATTGCCCACGGTTTCCCCGATACCCATGTTTAACTATCCTTCATTGATACGTCACCTTGATTACGGTGAGATGTTATATGCCGTAGAAGTTTGGTGTTCAAAATTACCACGGAGACGGTCAAATGCTGTCATATCCGTCATGAGGGTCTTATTAAGGTTATTACTACACAATGCAGGTCCTTTATCCTCGTTAAAACTCGCCAGTCTCGGAGAGGATTATCATAATGAAAGGGTGATGATTTTGGCCGAACCGGAGATTAGAAGTTTAATCACATCGGTTAAACTGCTTTCTCTTGACGGATTTGATTATAATCAACACGGTTTACTGGTTAGGTTACCGGATTTATGTAAAAACATCGAGTACTTGCATCTTCGCGGTTGGTACGGGCATCATCCGCAGAACGAAGGCACGATCACATCATTACAAAAGGATGCCGCAGCAATCTCGCTACGTCGGTTAATCAAAGCGCAGAAATCATTAATATCATTAGACATGATCGATTGTAAAGCGTACCTTGGTCATATAATATCAGCCTTGGATACGCAGTCAATCTCATTGAGGCAAATGAAATTTCGGTTGGTGGATTTTAAAGATTGCGGGCCATGGGATGGATTGGCCACTTGTCACCGGTTAAAAAAATTGGAATTTTGGTTTTGTAAAGGGATCACTCAAAAAATGATCAATCCTTTAATTCACGGCACCTTTCCTGAATTGGAAGAGGTGAAGATGTTGCAATACGGAAAATCTTGCGAGGAATTCAGAATTTGGATAAATAACATGAATGGTACCATCAACAAGGAAGAAATTTTGGAGGATTCAACCGATGATATAGCCGAGTCTCAGGATGAATCCTGATTTGTAAAAAAAAAAAAAAAAAAATTTCCCGACATATGCATATCATATGTCAGAGTAATGTCAAACTTTTTTTATTTGGCATAAATTATAATCACATTTTTAACAAACTCATTTGAAAAAAAAAAAAATCATTGAATAGATATTTGCATAAAAATAAACAAATAAATAAAAATATCTATATATATATATTCGTTATTAAGTCAATAACCAAAAAAAGAAAAAGAAAAAAAAAAAAAAAATAATCAAAAAAAAGAAAAAAAAATCTTATTATTTTTTTTTTTATTATTAAATAGCATTAAATTAAAGCATTATTCTTCATTTTTTAAAGTTGGGAGAATTAGAATTCAGATATGAATGGACATTGGTTTGAAAATCATACTTATTCTTATAATGTCGTGTAACCATTAGTTTTATATAATATAATAATATATACATATATATATATATTTCCGGTTGTCGCGATGATGTTTATAAAATAACGAGATAAATAAAAAACGTAATACTACCGCGGATGTCACTGCGGGCGTTCCGGAGATCCCTCCCTGGAGATCTACACAAATACCCCATATTTACTCCCAAGTGGAAATTTTTATATCATTATCCAAAAACTGAAGATTAGCACAGAGCACAATTTTACGCATGACTGCGCCGATGCATCATCTTCATATCCTTTTATTTATTTATAAAATGATGATGTAAAATCATACGACATTGCGAACTTTACGACATTCCCAAAAATGATAAATCAGATCATATTGTCTTACTAGTTGGATTGTTTTAAAAAAATAAATAAAAATCTCCCCTCTCCCATTCTTTTTTGGATTGAAAAAAAAAAAAAAAATAAAATAAAATAAAATAAATCCTAACTGCACGCAGAAAAAAAAAGTAAAAAAAAATGAAAGCATCTGTTTACATTCCATCGGACATAATCGAAGAGATTCTATTTTTCATTCAGGCGGATCATTGTACGCCTAATAATCAACTCACATATCATGTTGGACCAACCTTATACTCATGCCTATTAATAAACCATCAATGGTGTCGATTGGTCGTTCCCAAATTATGGAAGCATCCCTTTTACTATGCATGGAAAGGGAGTGGGAATGAAAAATTGATTTCAACGATCCTATCATTTTTAAAGGAGACTTTAAGGAAACCCTTGATTTGTAACGGATTCGTCATTAGTCAAGGATCAACCTTTGATTACATCTCAATGATAAAACATTTACATTATGATTATATGTTAACCTCGGTTGAGTCATGGTGTAAAAATCTGGTTAATTCATCCGGAAATAATAATGTCTCGATGATCATCAAGGTCATATTGAGACTTTTTGTTGACAAATCTGTTGAGTTGACCAGTCTCTTCATCTGGCCAAATAATGTTTATTTGCGACATTATAATTTAAATAGGTACATGGAATTGGTTGAACCTGAATTCAATGGTTTACTAAAGAATTTAATGAGTCTTCATGTGGAAACACATTCTCATTATCCATCTGCAAAATTCTTGCAAAAATTATCTTTAATCGTCCGTAATGTGGTAAGTCTTTATTTTTTTTTTTTTTTGTAAAAGTTCTTGTTTTGTTAAAAAAAAAAAAATAAAATAAAAAATAAAAAAAAATTTTCCTTATAGAAAAAAATCCATTTGAGAACTCCACTATTAGGTTTAAAGGGATTCCCAAATGATATGGAGGCTGGAATCGCAAAAAATTTGTGCACATTAATACAGTCTCAAACCAAATTGGAGGAATTTAAATTGATGGGTTCCTTCAAATTCACTCCTTCATTTATCTCATCATTATCCGTTCACACCGATCATCTCAAGAGCGTAGCATTATTTGAAACGAAAATTGATGAGGTGGATTCTTGGAAGGTTTTAACAAATTGTTTGAACCTAGAAAGATTTGAAATAATTAATTGTGTTGGATTACATTCCGACTTTATTTCACTTTTTTATAATGTCAATAACTTTAAGAAATTAAAATGGATTTCAATGGAAAAAAATCAACCTAATGAAATCAATGAAGAATTGAAAACTTGTGCTATTCACAAGTATAAAGATGATCTTAGGTTTAGGTTATTGAAAAGTGGCAAGGTATTAAATGACATTTGTAAATAATATTAATTGTAATATATTAAATAAAGTGTAAATAAATTAAAATTTAAATATAAAAACATTTTTTTTTTTTTCCATTCATAATCCAATGAATTTTTTTTTTCTCATGTACAAGAGTTTTTAATTTTGCCAAATTACCAAATTATTTTTCCTTTTGACCGTGATGGTAAGTTATTTTCATACCGATTTTTATAAATTTACATTCTATCTTTCCTTTTAGATTTTCCTTCAGGTTACACATTCATGAAAATATTCCAATGTTCCATTCATGTTAAAAAAGATTTTAACTAAAAATTACTGAAATTACTAATATTATGATGCACTTGCTGTTTGCCAAAAAAATTTATTTTTTTTTAACATTGAAAAAAAATATTTTTTTGACTCATAATTTGATGGTAATTTCAGCATACATTGCATCAATTTCTCTTTGGAATCGCAATTTAGCTTGATGTCTCTTTAATTTATAGGTGGGTGTAAGCAAATTATTCTGTATGGAAAATGGTTCAGGGGTCAAATAAACATTTTTGACACATTCAAAACCCTTCAAATCATTTGCCTTGCCATATTTAATGAGGGTTTGAAGAAAATGTTTTCTAACTTTGGCATCTTTACAAAGTTCTTCGTAGGATAGGCCTTCAAAGCCATTTTGTTTGGCCCAGTGCATAAGAACTTCTTCATCAGGAACGATAACGCATATTAATGAAGCTTGTAAAGAATCCCCATAAACAAATGCTTGAGAGACGAGTTCATGTTTACAATATATGTTTTCAATCTAAAAGTTGAAAAAATTAATTAAAAAATATAAAACGTCAAAAATTTGACAATAAACGGTATTATTTTATACCTTTTCAGGGGCAATGTACTCGCCCTGCGCCAATTTAAAGATATTTTTGACGCGATCGATAATCATTAAACGACCCTGATCATCCCATTGTCCGATATCACCGGAATGACACCATCCATCTTTATCAATGGTCTTGGAGGTTTCATCAGGAAGTTTATAATATTCACGGAAAACCGTATGACCTCGAACACAAATTTCACCTCGGGGATAAGGTTTATCATTAGACGTGTAGTTCATTTCTGGTACGTCTACCAATTTAACCTCGACGGAAACTTGTGGTGGTCCAACATGACCCGACGAAGTATCACCAAACAATGACTTTTCAGTAAGAGCGAAAATAAATAAATTTTTATTTTTTTCCATTAAAAAACAAAAAACCAATAGAATCAAATCATGTGATACTTACTACAGTTAAACCAGCAGCATTTTCCGTCTGACCATACCCTTCAAATACTTCGGTGGAGAACGCAATCCTCAAAAAGTCCATGACATCAGGTGCAATTGGAGCCGAACCTGACAAGATATATTTAACTTTACCACCGAGTCGAGCTCTAATCGGAGCAAAAACCACGCGATCCCACATCCAGTGATCGTACCTTCCCTGCTTCAAGCCGCTTTTTTTTGAGTTAAAAGCGGCGGTAAACATCCATTGTGCGACACCACCCTTCACTTTCACACCGGCCATCACTTTATCGTAAATACGATTAAGTAAACGTGGCACCGAAATAAATATAGTAGGTTTCAATTCATCAATATCATCCAATAATTTCAAGGTATCACCTTGATAGAAACCGATCGCCGAACCTCCATAAATCATCGTAGCCATATTAGCTAACTCAAACACATGAGCTAATGGTAGATAAGAAATGTGTACATCGTTTGGAGTCGACTTAAACATAGTGCCTCGATCCGCAAGCCATCTAATGCTGGCAACGTTCGCCATGAAATTCTTATGAGTCAACACTGCACCTTTAGGGATGCCAGTTGTACCAGAAGTATAACAAATCGTTGCAACGTCATCAGGTTTAGCATTCTCCGCTTCGACGGGTTGAACAGAGCCAACTTGTTCAACATCCGTGAAATTTAAAATTTTAACATCAAGCGCATTCGCGAGGTCATTAAATTCTTGATCAATTGTATCCAAAATGATGATGGTTTGGATCGTCGGTAACGCTTCCTTCATGTCAAGAAGCACACGACCTTTGTTAACCGTGGCCAAACAATATTTCATTCCAGTTTGGTTTATGATATGTTCAAGAGCTTCGGCGCCCAACGTATCATACAAAGGAACTGCAATGAAATTGTATTGATAGCTGGCAAGTTGCGCCATTACGTATTCAGGATTGTTAATTGAGAAAAATCCTAAAGGTTCCTTAGGAATCAAACCTATCTTTCTCAATCCAGAACCAAAGTTAGCCACACGTTTTTGAACCGTATTGTATGATTGCCAAACATAAGACCCGACGATTTCATTCTTAATCTCTCGATGTCCCAAGAAATTTCCGTCACCTATTATTCAATTTGACAAGAAGGATTAATTCGAATAAAAGGATCCCACTTTTTTTTTTTTTTTAATCAAACGAAAAAATAAAAAATTTCAGAACATTTTACCTGCTTCCTTGACGCCATGTAAAAAATTTTCATATAGAGTAGTAGCTCCATCAGGATGAAGAATGAGCTTATCAGGAGAAAGAGCATTTCGGCGGGGTTTACCCTCTCCGGGAATATCGGATGCTCCGGCAACCTCGACTGAATATTGATGTTTTTGTGTCGAACCACTCATTTTGATGAATGGAGGAAGGCGTTTTTTTTTTTTTTTTTTTTTTTTTTTTGGGAATATTTATTAACGGATCACATAACACGTGATTACAGTATTACTAAGAATGGGTGTGACTCCAACCAAATAAACAAACCCTATTTTTTATTTACCCATTGTTTTTTTTATTTACATTCATTTGATTTCACTTTCTTATTTTTTTTTTTCTTTTCATTTTTCTAAAATTTTTGTCATAATCTCTTCAGAATGCGTATTATCATATTTAATTGTTGTAGCCATTGGCAATAAAAAACCATTGTTTCTGAACACCCAAAAATGGTACAAACATTATTAATTCGGAAAATGCGATATGAGGGGATAAGCCTATCGTTTGATTTGCATGCGGACCTTGTGATACAGGAATTTAATGGGTTGAAAAAGTTAATTATCTGATTAAAAAAAAAAATAATAATTTCACACGATTTGTCAATTTTGAACTACTTTGTTCGGAAATTCCGAGTATTTATAATGATTTTCTACTTTTGATCCGAAAGCCATAAAAGGATTCCTTTTGCATGCATTCACATTTGTCAACCGCAGCAAAGAGCTCGCGCTTTTATTTTTATTTTTTTTTTTGTTCATTCGGTCTATAACTCTTTTTTTGGCCTCACCAAGTCTCGTATGTCATTTTGCATGTCTTGAATTGTACATATTGAAACTTTATGCATATTTACGGTTGTACATTTTTATGTTTTTCGATCGTCAGGGTCAAAATTTTTTTCAAAAGAACCGGTTTATGAGAATGTGAAAATCATTTAATCGTGATAAAGTTATGATAAGTAATTTTTGATAATTTATACTTATTTAGGTAATGATACAATTTGTGGCACAATGCCGCACAAGCATTTTTTTGAATTACGCGAATTCAGAAACAAGAATGAAACGTGTTCTTTCTCCTTCTAGCGTTATAGAAAAACATGTTTTTTCTTTGTTGGTATTGAAAAAAAAAACGAGTTTTTTTTTTCTTGTTTGACAACGACGTCAAAATGGATCGCAGATATTTTATTTCAATAAGGACATGAATTTGATGAAACCTGTGTGGCCACACATTGCCACACGGAGCTAAAACGACGTAATTTCATACTCTAATGAAAGCATTGACCAGCTTCTTTGGAAATGGCGTATTCGCACATACGTTTTGAATGCTTATCCAGTATAAACGGTTGTTCAATAATTGTCGTGATTGGATGTTTAACCCTTCGCGATATTACAAGAACATTGTCAAGTTTGCGTCCAATGAAATATACGAGGGCTCAATTGAAGCAATAAACCTATATACGTAATTTTTTTGGTTAGATTGCCCCATCCCTTTTATTTTTATCCTTTTTTTTTATGTAAAACAATTAACAATACAACAATGACAGCATTACACAATTGAATAATTGACATTTCTATAAATTTGACATATATCTAATCTTTTTTTTTTTTTTATTTTATCTTATATAAAAAACTAATATAAATTTTTTTTTTTTTTTTAAAAAAAAAAAAATTATTACTTAAAAAATTCTTAATTACGGTATTGTAAATATAAACAAATAAATCATAAAAAAAAAAAAAAAAAAAATTTTTTTTTTTTGGGTAATTCGTATTCATTTTTTTTTTTTGCTCCCGATAAATTTTTCTAAAAAAATTTCTCTCCTTTTTTTTTTCTTTTGCTTTTGTTTTTGTTTTTTGTTTTTTGTTTTTGTTTTTGTTTTGTTTTTTTTCGACGAAGTGTGTATATATACATATATATAAATTTAGAAACTTTTTTTTTCTATATATATATTTAAAAAAAGTCCTTATGTGTTACATTTTTTTTCATTTTTTTTTCGTAATTTTGTTTGGTTTTTTTTTTTTTTTTTTTTTGTTATTTTTTTTTTCTTTTTTAAAAAAAGAAAGCTTAGGAAGAGGAAGAATTTCGACGACGACGTCGACTATTAATCATATCCGCCCACGCCTCCAATTCGTCACCGATTTCATATGGTTCACATGAATAAACCCAAACTTTCTTTAGATTGCGATGGTGAGATTTTAAAAGGGGCGAAATCATATTGAAGTCCATGTTGTAACATTCTTTAATATCCAACCTTTCTAATTTCGTGCAAGACTTTAAAACGTCCCATTTACAACATCCCTCAAAATCAATCCCACGAAATTCAATGTGTTTTAAAGTACGCTTTTGCTTTACTAATGAGGGGATGACTATGCCGATAAATGCTTTGCAACGAGAGAAAACTATCTTTTTTAACCCTCGTTGAGATTCTATGAGTGTACCTAATTTTTTTGCTGTATGAATTGCAATATCATCATATGCGCTCAAATTATTGATTCTAATTGAATGCTATAAAATAAAAGATACGA